CACACACACACACACACACACACAGAGCCAGGGTAGAACCCAGGGCCAAGAGCTGCAAGAGAACAGTGCAACCACTGCAACCACTGCACCACCATGCCACCACCAGTGGAATCTAACGAAGCTCATTTCTGCACTGCAAAGAGGAGGACTTATTTATTAAGGGAGATTAAAAGGGGCACTGACGACTCGGACATGATGAAACGATTCGGATGGGTACCTGGAGAAACCCCATCCAATGCTTACCGAAGGAGCCCATCTATTAAATAGCCATGTGGCAGAATAGTTGAATCCCATCACTTTTATAAAATGCAGAAAAACACAATGGAAGAAACATTTTTTTCAATTCAAAGTGAAGTTGTACTAGTTTGATAAACATCAGTGGTGTTTGGGGAATGTAAGTTATGCAGGATTACTGTATCCTTTCAAACAACTGGTGCCGCTCAACAATCGTCTCCGGGGAGGAGTAAGAAGGGGGGTGTGGTTTCAGGCCGAGGGGACATGTGATCACAGCCCAGCAGATGGCCAGCAATGACAAGCATCTTTGACAGCTGGGTCAGATACGAGTTTATATACGATAGTTAGAGCCACACTATGCATCCGCCGACCATTTATCAAATCGATTGTCTTCTTGTAGGGCATGCCTGCCTAACAATGTTTTTCATAAACCAGACTGACATTGTTAAATCTATATAAGCTGAAAATATTAATATTAACAACACATGCCGTCAAATGCAGACATGCCTACTTGTTAGTATATCAGGACCCTGAGTTAAACACACACTACACTCTACAACTCTACTGTAGTCCTCTTATTAAATGGTACACATGACTTTACCAAATGAGCTCCTTAATGTGCAAAGGGATGTGATTTCCCATGGAAACTATTACATTAGACTTCTGCACTCAGGCCTGTCACTCTGAGCTACCCCCCCGATTGATCCCCGAGTGACCAAATGGAGGTTTCCCAGGATACCTTTCTGATTAACCTGACCAATGTTACCACCCAACATGCATCCCCGCCTACCAAGAATGCTGGGGGATTCTGCAGGAAGCACGGTTCTTTCTTAGAGTGCCCAGGACACTGGTATTAAAAGGGGAGACAGAGAGAGCAGACCCCAGCCGTACCGGATCTTTCTCAGCAGGGAGCGGAACGGTTGGAAGAGCTCGGACATGTCCTCGGGCTTGCGGCTCAGGTCGATAGGTCCCTCGGAGTACACCACCAGGCCGCTGGAACCGAGAGGAACGTCAGGTTAACCACACCCCGAACGCTAAGAAAGTTGCCATTAAGGTATGTATTCAGGTCGGGAAAACAAAGCCGTTTCCTTGAGACAGAAACACTCACCAAACGATTGCCAGTCTGGGGATGGTAAACATCAGGGCGGGTTCGTAGTCGTCGATCATATCCTGCGTGAGGTAGCCCTGCTTCAGCGCCCTACAAAACCATCAAAGCAAGGGCAATGATCACAAATGCTGCCATTATGCCGAGGATCCACTTCGTGAGGGTTTGAGAAAATAAAGACCATAAACAAAAATAACCTAAACCACCGTACTGGCATCAAACTGCAACATTTCTCTTTTAAACCTGGAAAACATGGTAAGGATACTGGAACTTTCGGAGGGCGGAGGCAGGGTTATTTAGCTACATAGAGCCTCCGGTCCCTTGTAATAGGCTGGCTAACATTAACTGCGTCATCGAGAGCATCCTCACGCCAGGCAGCCGGTCAGGGTCAGGTTTACCCCATTGGGTGGCAGTACGTGTAACAAAACCTTAATCAGGGGGGTGAGCTCACCTCTCCACTGTCTCACAGAAGAGCACGATCACCTCCTGCTGGACGTAGTACTCCTTGGGGGACTTCACTGGCACCATGGCCGACACGTAGCTGGAGGAGGCGAGACAAAGACCCACTCAAGTGTTCAGAAAGCGCACTGGACTATTTCTGGGATACAGTGTGAGGAGTTATTATTTCATAACCATAAAAAGCTCAGACAGGCAGGGCTAAGTTGGCTCTCATGAGAGTAGCCAGGAAACCCAGTCTGTGGACAGTTATAGCTCAGCTGAACAAAACGTAAATCAAGCAGATGGCCTAGCAACTGCATTATATTCCTATAAAAACCTGCCACTGAATTTTTAAGTTCTCGTCAGCTGTTGTTAATGACTGAAAATTTACATTTAACTGCTTCACATAATTCTTTCATACTATTCGCTGCTTCCTTCCAAATACATATCCCCTTATTCTATATCCCTCCAATCAGATCCCTACATCTCCCCATCCATTCAAGCACACTCCCACTTCCTCTCCTCGAATCACATCCCCGCATCCCCCTACTCTCCAATCACAATCCCACCTCTCCTCCTCCAATCACATCCCTGCATTCCCACGTCCCTCCAATCACTCTCCCACCCATGTCACCTGAGCTCGAATTCGGCAAAGAGGCTGTCGAAGTGGCGCAGAGCATCGCACATGCGGTCGGTGTAGAGGTTGAGGTCGCGCAGAGCCTGGTCCCGGACGATGTTGCGCACCTCCTCCAGGCTGCGCGTCAGCTCCTTGGCCAGCGGCCGCATGGCCATGCTCTCCACCTCACGGTTCATGATGATGGACCCGGCAGCCAGGCACTGGGGGCAGAGTGGGGGGAGGAATACTTCAGTCAGAACAAACCGCATGCTGCCATCCAAATAGTCAACGTTTACATTACGGCAGTGCAGACCGTAAACGCACAAGGATGACACTCAATACTAGAACACCAAGGAGAGAGGGAGACTGGCTTTATTTTATACATATTCATGCTCAATGTGGTTTCAGCACTATGCTGTTAATGCAGGAGAGGTCTAAAGCTCACTAACAAGCTCGCTGGCCTTCAGGACAGGACCTGTGCCCAGATCTCAGGGGTCCTGCTGCGTGACTGTAAACATCGGAAGGATTGCTGAGGCCTGGACAGGAAGCTCACTATTGGGCTTTAAGCTGACGGTGATGGGGGGGGGGGCACTGCAAGTGCTTAAGAGTCAGGCTACATCCTGCCTGTCAACACGACCCACCTTCAAGGTGAAGACCCCAAACAAAACAGTCATGTCAGCTCAAACACCAGCTCTAACAGCCAAACGGGGCAGAGAAGTGGCCAGGAATAGATTCCCGCTTAAGATAACAGAGTTAATGAACCTGATTACCGGCAACAGCGGTTGCATGTATCAGGTAAAGCAAACAGCACGTGTTTGAGGTGACAGCCTGTGCTTCTCAGTGTCTCTGGCAGTAAAGCAAGACGTCAGTGAACCGAGACACAAGCCTGCATATGAAAAAAATTATGAAAATGAAACTGGAATAAGATTCTCCCAACACACATCATTAAAAAATCAGTTATGAAGAAATCTAGCTTATTAATTAACCAAAAAGACAGCAGGTGCCACCTGTCAGATGTAAGCAAATCAAATGTATAATGGATTATATTAAGTTAAAAATTAAAACAAAACAGAACCAGAGGAGTGTTACACTATACAAAATGAGCCCACTCATTTTAAACCCAAAAAATAAACAAAAAATGTATGCAAGTTATTTAGTATCAGTCAGAAGTTGAGGTATCATGTTATATCTGCTCCAATTCGGGGATTAGCTTAAAAAAAAGCAGAGTAGCAAGCATCAGCTGTTAAAGCAAGTGCAAAGCCCAAGGAGACTCTGATGCCGCTGATTAGTAGGTTGCGGCTGAGAGAGACTAGCTGCAGAAATGCAAATCAGCACGCAGGGACCCACCAGCAAACGCGGCATTAGGCCTGTTAATTGCACTTCTAGAGAGAAGCCTCCTTCCTTCATTGCACAGGACTGTCGTCGCCACCCGGTGCTGAGAACAGAGCAGTTTGGCCATTCGCACTTTCCGCATTAGCAGAAAGGCAGAGGTCCTATAGGACTTTGCTGAGATGAGTGAGGGGGAGATTAAACACTTTAGCGAAAATCCTGACCTTCAACACACCCTGTACCTTGCTGTGGGCACTGCTACAGTATGCCACAAGGTGGCCCTGTTTGAGCTTAGACACCTCAAGGCATACTGAACAGGACAGCAAATAGTATTGTTTTAAATTGCTTATCTGACAGTTTTTAGCAAAAGAAAACTGCATTACACTTGTTTGCATGCTGAGTCACGTTGAGTATTTTGATCATGATCTTTCTGGAATCCCACCAACCCATCTGCTGCAGTAGGTACCAGCAGGTCCGTAAGGCCACCGCACACTCAGCCAGCCATCTGCACCATACACTACGTAAGCTTTACCATGTTACATGCAGAGCTGTGTGTCTTACTGACACAGATACCCTGCAGCATCAAGCTCGGTCCCCAGCAGAAACTGATTACAGGCAGCACTCATATCATGATGCATCATGATCCCAAAAACTAGATTTTAAGTCAAAATGTCTCAACAAGGCAAGCAGGTGTCAATGAGAACCTGCCGTCCATTATTATACGGTAAAAACCATTCACGCTTTTGCATTTTTTTTTTTAATTTTTTTTTTTAGTTTTTGTTTCCAAAAAAAGCAGTATTTTAAAATATATTCAGGTGGCATAAAAGAACCTTTGCAGGATTTTCAGAAGACTTTGATTTTGAAATTATCACCTTATCGAAGCACAGCTATTCTGGGATTCCTGCTTTAGCTTTTCGGCTAGCTAGCTAAAGCAAAAACAGCTGCCCGTAGTACATCTCTGGCGTACTGCAGCATCTAATGTGGTGGCTAATGTGGCCCTAGTCTAGGTTACATGCTGCTTAAATACTGGCAGCAGACTCAGCTTCAGTCTAGGTCAAGTACTGCTCATGTACTGGTTCCAGCACCTCAGCCCCAAACCACAGTTGTCCCGCCAGGTTGTCGTGTCTGATCTCCTCAGGAAACTTGACGCAGAAATCCCTGTTGGCCCGGTCGTCTGGGATACATTCATCCATGATCTGATTGATGATGCCAAGCACATTGTCCTGTGGAGCAGAGCATAAAGAACAGCAGAGAGGTGAGAACAGCAGAATAAGCACAAACACGAACGCCAAGGTGTGAAAGAACTCCATATATTCAGTATAGATACATATTACACCAGCAAGGAAATCCTCAATGAGAAAAGTACATTACAGCAAAAAAACACATCATATACAAAAGCAGTGAACAATGAAACAGCTTTAGTTAAATATAGTTATGAATAACATTTACACATACTTAAGACATGAAAAATACTATAGCATTTACAACACATATAACAAAGATTCATGGATGCTTAAGGTTATTTAATGGTCTACAGGTAGAAACTTTGACTGTTGAAATGCGTTTTTAAATATTCTTAGCATTTAGGGTCAATAAGCCATTCATTCAAGATGAAAGTGGAAAATCTATAATTAGAATTTGGTAAACAGTGGTCATTGTTGACACACCACAGCACACAACAACGAAATGTGTCCTCTGCATTTAACCCATGTGTGACAATGTGACATAGCAGGGGGCAGCTAATTCAGCGCCCGGGGAGCAGTGCTTGGGGGCGGTACCTTGCTCAGGGTACCTCAGTGGTGCCTTGCTGGTCGGGGATTCGAACCTGCAATCTTTCAATTACGAGTGCACTTCCCTAACCATTAAGCCACCACTGCCCAAAAAGGAAGAAAAAAAAAAAAGAAAAAAAATCAGGGGAGAGCATGAACAGAACCCTCCCCCCCACTAGCAGAAATGATGCAGTGGAGACTCCCACATTTGGGGAATTCACAGGGGTCAGCACAGCCGCAGTGCAATGGCTGGGCCTCACCCTGGGTGAACCACCTTCGGGATCATGGTATTTCCCCTGCCAGGTCAGTAAGCGCTGCCTCTTCCCAGCATAGTCCTGACCTGTACATGCCTCACCTCCTCTCTCACCAAAAACACAAGTGGCCTGCTTGTCACTGACATGCTCATTTCGCCATACAGCGGAACACGGCATCGCCTTACCGACCATCCATCAAAAGCACAGCTCAGCCCAACAGCCTTCCGACTGCAGTGTGATGCACTGGGAACTCGGCCGAGCACATGGGGGCCTGCACACTTACAACGGATCATTTCCATAGGTTATGGAGCGGCCATATGCAGGACAAGCAACCATGTGACATAGTCAGAGCCCGACGCACGGAGTATACAGAGCCAGAGCCACGGAGGAGTGGCCGCAGTCCGCATCGCACCCCAACCCCCGGACCCCGCGCCCCAATCCCCGGACCCCGCGCCCCAATCCCTGGACCCCGCGCCCCGCATCTATGCCAGCAGAGAGAGAGGCCCATGCCAGCATCCCCAGCACCTGTGCCTCCTCTGCTACCCTTATGCAGCACGGGCAAAATAATAACTTACGATGCACCATTACATCCTGACACGCTATAATCTCACGAAGCGAAACGGCCTCATTTCAGAGCTGCCGGGGCCTTGGGTAAAAGCTGCTTATTCAGTCTGCTTTATTACTGCTCAGCGGCTGGCGGCTGGCCAGCCCTGCTCTGAGTCAGCATGCCGAGGCGGCCCACCAGGGGACGGCAGCACGCCGGCGTATCGGGAAGAGGAGCGGGGCCGGGCCCAGTGATGCCAGTGTGTCGGGAAGAGGAGCGGGGCCGGGCCCAGTGATGCCAGTGTGTCGGGAAGAGAGGAGCGGGGCCGGGCCCAGTGATGCCAGTGTGTCGGGAAGAGAGGAGCGGGGCCGGGCCCAGTGATGCCAGTGTGTCGGGAAGAGAGGAGCGGGGCAGGGCCCACTTCAATTGCGTTGAGTCATTTAAAACCTGCTGAGTGTCTCTGGCTTACCCGCACTGTGACTTTAAGTTTGACTCCTGTGCTTTGTCAGGGTCGACGGCGGGTCAGGCTGTCACTCTGCCTCCAGAAGAGTCGTCTGCTCAAACACCACGCCAGAGTTTCCCAACCCGACTGTGGCAGAAGACCTGTCTGCCTCAAGGGCTCTTTCTGTTAGCGGGGAGTGTCTGAGTTTCGGGGGAGGAAATGTGAACGGGCACGGTGGGCGGGTCGGCCCGTGCAATGCGGATGGCGTCACTGGCCCCGGGTAACTGCTTCATTAGTGCGTCAGCCAGTCAGAGCCTCACTGGCTGACGGAGATGGTAGCGGGGGGTGTCTTCTCAAGGCTTGCATAAATCCCTCATTCCCGCAAGAGCATCGTCATTCCAAGCTCCGACACTAAGCTCTCACCAGAATGTTAAAAGAATTTGCTTGGCATCTTATTCACCGCACTAGGGCTTAGACAAGCCCAAAGTTAACGGTTTATGAAATAATGTGTTTTAGCCCATTTGTGCATATGATTATGATTCGAGGGCCCCATAGCTGAACTGGAGGCAATGGGCCCAACTGGGAGAGGAGCTACTCAACCGGGTCGGGGATTCTCCGCGGGGGGTGGAGGGGCACCCGACTGGCTTGTCACTGGCGTGCCCCTCAAAGTGCCGTAGCGATGCCGTCATCGGCGGCTGCAGGACGCGGTTACACGGCTCACTGACTGCTGGACAGGATTATGCGGGGTCGTGCCAGGGCGACATTCGCTGCGCTGTGGACGACACAGAGCGTGAACTTAGGCACACTGACGCGTTCGCAACATCGCAGCTACGGAGCGTGTTACATCAGCTGACTGCATGCGCAGATGGTGACCTACGACGGGTCTGCTGACACAAAGGCGCGGGCTGCGTGTCTGCTTAATTAATACATGCCATTTATAGGAATGATGAGTATTACTGAGTATTAAAAGCTGTTGTGCAGCCTCCCGGAATTAGGTACTGAACCTTCTGAGCATTAACACGTTACTAAGGATCTATTAGGTCACAAAATAACAGTAAGGATCCACATGAATAAATGCATATTGCCTGTTACAAGAACTGAAACCATGTCACAGTGACATTGTTTGTAAAAATGACATTACATTGATTTTTATTTAGTTTAGTTATTTAGGGTCGACAGGCACTGGAGCAGTTGCTCGTTAAGGGCCTTGCTAAAGGGCCCTAGAGTGAAAGTGCTCTGCCGATCATGGCATTTGAACCGGCAACCTTCTGATCATTAGCAGTATCCTAACCCACTGAGCCACGCTCTGCCTCCCATAGGGAGCGACTGAGCCCTACATAACACAGACCAGGACCAGAGGATGCAGAGTACCCAGACTAGGAGAAGAGGACAGAGCAAGTCCGCGTGAAGTTAGTCAAAACCGGAAGGAGAGCTTTATTATCCCAGATGCCTTGAGCTTCAGGAACTCACTGCAGCCTGCGTACCCATCAATGTCAACAACAACAAGAAAAGATTAAACTTCTTCAAATAAAAGATTAGTGTTATTCATTTTGTTAGTTATTGGTCAATTACTGGGGGGGGGGAACGATCACAATCATAACGGGACACAGCCTTTTATTTACATCTTACCAGGGCTCTCAAGTTTCAACAAAAGTTGGGAGTGAGATTACATCTGTTAGGGAAGCAGCGTGTGTCTCATGGTGAATGGGCGACGCTTTGCAGCCCTGTCTATCACATTCAATTGGATCTTGCTTTGCCACATTGTCTGCACTCAGTATGTGTGCGCATCCATGTAAAAACGTGCTTGCAAGCGGCATCACATGCAACAAATTCTATTTTCTGATTGGCTGGTAGGTGGCCATTAACTCTGTCTAACTCGATCGGGACAGTTATGAACTCGGTGGAAAACTCTACTCCGTATGTCTCTGCATTGTCCTTTAATCCTATATAACGGGACACCTTGGAGGGCGTCATCCTTTACTTCTCAGCGTGAGAAATACAAACAGTTCAAAAACGTGAATTTTAACCTGTGGAATATCTGTAGAATACACATTAAGAACATATAGTTAACTGGTTCACTCGCTCATACGCCACACCTTTGGAACGTCAAAAACACGTGAATTTTAACGCGGAAAATATGCGCGAAATACACTTTAACGTGATGACTACTGTATGTGTTGTGAATGTGTTGTTAACATGCATTCCACACGTATTCTATACGTGTTTTTGACCCGTTTGCCGTTCCAAAGGTGTGGCGTATGAACTGGCTGAAATGCATGTGTCTCACGGTCAATAAGATGAGACTTGAGAGCCCTGATTTTACTTGTATAACCCACGACATGTTTATAATTCATAAATAAACTTGGCCAGCAAATCAATCTTTAATTTTCCACAGAATAAAAAAACAATGTAACGTTATCCAGCTAATAAGCGCTGGCATGTTTCACCGCCGGCACCGGCTGGAGATGCAGGCAAAAGGTATTCGATCTTATTGGGGTACAAAAATAATTCCATCTACAGTCTTTTTTACTGCACTTCCGCGTAACTTCCATGTTAGTGCCGGTGCTTGTGGGCAAGCAATCAACTGTAAGCACCTCCACTGCATTGCCTCTGAGGAGCTGAATCAGATCGAGTTCCGATGGTCCCTCACACACACAAATGCATACACATACACATCAATTCTCAGGGTGTTTCATGTGACATACAACAACGTGGTCAGCTGCTACATGGGGGGCATATTCGGCATAAATGAGGGGCATATCTGCCAGTCACACTGGTGCACCTAGTTATAAAATGTACTGTAGGTGCACTGTTTCCAAAAATGCGACTAAATGGTCGCAGCCTGGAACTCTGTGGAGCCACACTTTCGATTTCTTAGGTGTTTTTTACAAGTGACAAACAAAAACAGCACCACACACACACGAACCAGTACGCATGTTTGTTTCTGGGCATACGTTTTTCCACCGGCCTCTATGACGTGTTAGTGTAACATTATGTTAGACAGCCAATCACCAGCAACTTCAGATCTCCACACAAGTATGCTGCAAGCTTATTAGCTTAGACGCGGAGATTTAATGTTTGGGTATCAGAATTCGGTACCGAAAGAAAATTAATCTTTCGATCCTCGATAAGATTGGAACATTTCGGTCGTAACTGCAGAAGTACCGGAGTTCAGTACCCAGCCCTGGCTCTGACTTAATAAATAAAAAAAAAAAAAGCTGAGGATTAAATGAAAAAGATAGCAGAAGCATTTTAAGATCTCGCTTGGTGCTCACACTTCCCAAACACCAGATACCCAAACCCACTGTTTCTCAAGCCGGTCCTAGGAGACCCCCAGACAGTCCAAGTGTTTGCTCCCTCCCAACTCCCTGCCAGCCAGTCCTACTGGGAGCTGGAAAGGAGCAAAACTGTGGACCATCTAGGGCTCCCCAAGGACCAGGTTGAGAGATTTCTCCCATAACCAATCCGCAGCGCTTTCCCGGTGTATCCATGCAGTCTTTCCTAATCCGGTACTCGGGGGCCCAAAGTCGGACCAGCTTTCTGCTCCCTCCCAGCTCCCACAAAAACATGGACTGGATTTGGAAACGTCACCCAGGCAATGACACCACCGTCCCCAGCGTTTCCCCACAATAACGCCGCTTCCGCTTAAAAGTTTCATAAAGGTTCTTCTCATTTTTAATATTAATAAAGGTTTACACTGGAGATTAACTGTGACAGAGAAAAGTCAGAGGGCACTATCCAAATGAGAAACTGCCAGCCTTTAAAAGTGAGAATTTATAAATAAAAGAAAATTGTACTTAGGAGACTCTGTATGAGGACAGGGACAGTAAGAATGACTAAGGTGCTGACAAGTGATAACAAGGCTTTAAGGCAGCGGCTGCCAGACTGCTCACCTTAAAAGACCCATTTTAATAAACGATGGCACCCCAACTTAGTATAAATATGACGAATTAGCACTAAAATACTCCGTAAGACAACTGGAGTAAAAGTATTCAGATACATTTTTCTTAGTATTAATGTTATCCATTTAATGGCTTTAAAATTTTACCACAGCGATTGTTAGAGTTTAAAGAGACCCAGGCATAATTAAAATGTCATAGAATGTCAAGACAAAGCATCAAGATGAAAGACTTTATGGCTCAATTAAAAGGCATGAATAAAAAGTAAATTGTGTGTCCAGGACACTGTCTGCCAGCGAGACAGCTTATGAGGAGTGCGCAGAATATCAACGCACTGAAAGTACATAAAGTTAAAATGCATTAAGACACATCAAAGCACAATGAACTATGTCATCCAAAGGCAGAATTCCTCACTATCCTTGAGAGGTATAGCACATAGAAAAATTCTTTACAGAGAACTTCAGGACTTCAGAACTCTGGGTGACTAAATACAGAAAGACATTCAGAGGAAGAGCTGAAGAGCGAGGAATTTGCTGAGAGACTACAATTCCCAGCATGCCTTTCACCGGAAACACTAGTTTCCAACAGCAGACCCAAACAACATGAATTTCTGAAGCACATCATTCAACATTAAGCATTACATTCTTTCACATTTACAAATGAATTTTAGCACCTTTGTAATTACATAAATACCAGTTAAATCTTATTACATTATAATAACTAATTCAGTTCATTGGTTATCATTATTATAAATAATGACAATGAAAAAAGTATTCAACTAACGCATGATTAATTCAAATACAAAACCTCTACTGTACAGTAAGGGGGGGGGAAACAAATTAGATGAGTATCCTAGTTAAGAGAGAAACAGTAATTTGTTTTTAATTGATTTTCCATCATTGAGTGCAGATCAATTTTCACTCTTTCACCTGTAAAAGAACAGTTCCAAAGAAAGCAGCCGCCCATGACAGAGGATGTCACAAGGGCCGAGAGAAAAAAAGCCACACATTTCTAAAAGCATACAAGTTAAACTTACGAAAGTTCAAAGTCATCACAGATATGCCAGCAACTCTGTACATGTTTTGAGTGATTTAACCCCATGGAAGTCATTTATCAAAGGAACCATCAGTGACTTGTTTAGTGCTGCATCATCTTGGTTTTACCTATAGACCAAAATGGCAGGTGTGCAGCCGAAATGTGTGTATTGCAGTATGCGTGCTGTGATATGCTTAGATTTTTACAGTTCGTTCCAGCAATTTTACATTCGACTGAGTAGTCTCACCTGACAGGAGCGGAACTGGTTGACCAGGAGGGTGCATCTCTGGGGGTCCTTCCTGCCGTCCAAGCTGTCCAGCTCCATCGCCACCTGGTTCAGCTCCTCGTCCGCGTAGTAGAACTGGGCCAGGAGCTGCGGATCCGATCTCTGGGGGGAAGGACGGCACATGGCAGAAGTTACCGCGCGGCTCCGGCGACACCGGATAGACGCTGCAAAATCACAGCGGCAGCACAATTCTTAGGGTCCGTATTTCACGCTTCACGGCTGAGAGAGAGACGAGCAGAAACACAGCTCCAAGACTACCAGCCCATAATAGCAGCTCCCAGCCGGGATTCCTGGCCCAGCAAGTCAAATAACGGGGAACACGGAGATGATATGGTGTAGATGTGGCCACACTTTGCAGCCTAGTACATATTTAGCTTTGAATGCATTTTTTTCCCCCATAGATTTTGATTACATACTTTGGGTACATAGAAGATTTAATTAGATGGACGGCCATCTAGGCTGAACACCGTGAACTCCAAGAAAAATGACAGAGCTAAAATGCCGTCAGTACTATTAGTTATTCCAATACCGACGTCTGGCAGTAAATTACGAAGCTCGACTTTGTCCACATCTCCGTCAGTGGTGGCATCTCTGCTTCAGTCAGCAGTTGGAGTACTTTTTAGCTGAGGTGTTGCAAATACTCTATATGCAATCCATAATACACAATAAACACCACCGACACGCCCCAGCAGGATCTGCGTTTCATGCATTACGGGCTCTCCTGTGCAATCCTGCATATCTGTCCTCTACAGTTAGCTTAACCAGACAACTTGGCAGCTGCAGTAAGCAACGCAAAATGGAATACCAGTCCGGCCCTTAAGCAAGGAAGTCTCCAGTCAAATAATACAGCTACCTAAAATGGGTAAGAACTGTGCACCAAACCAATAAACAAAGGAAACATTTTATTAGGAGATTGTGTCAGTCAGTGGCTTTACACTGGAAGGTTCACGTCACTCTTCTCTCTTAATCACCCTTTATCTGCCCCAACATTTACTACACACAAGAGGTTCTTGGGCAATATTCTCATAATAAGAATGGCGACTTATTATAAAGTCAACAGTACAGGAACAACCAAGTTATCGTCAACTGAAAACTGGCAGCCATAGAAACAGACTGACCACAGGGTGAATCAGCCAAGAAGTTAAGATAACACCAGTGCCTGTAGAATCAGACTGCTGGCCTTTAAAGTACGATCTAGTAAGTGTTAGTAGTCATACTGGAAACAGACTGTCTTGATGATGTGCATATTGCAACAAGCTTTTTGAATATTCATGTTAACATCATTAGCTTCCGCCAAATGCTCCTGGGTTAATAGCTTCCAAAGGGCATAACAATCATCACTCTGCAGCTACACTGAAATAGGAATTAAAATATATACTCAGCATATCCACGTACAACTTTCTGCAGCATGAATGATTTAAACCAGAGTTAATACATCATCTTTTTCAGACTGCACATACAGGGATCAAGATAAATACATATTAAAGGTACTAAGGCATTTCCTGAAAAAAATAAAGGCTTTTAATGTGGTTTCATCCAATACCACTTCATCGACATCACTTCCTCTTAGTGAACATTAGGTCACTAGGTGTTGATCTACTTTCCTGGCAGAAAACTGCTGAGTTAGGATCAGATGGTTACTGCAGCAGAACCCAGGCTGGAGCTGGTCGGCAGTAAGGCTGCATAGAGCTAATGGGACGGTCCAGCCAACCGTAGCAGGGGTGTGCAGCCTGTGGAAGGTGTGAATGCTGATGGCCTTATTCTTTTGAGGTAAAGGGACAGGCTATTTAAATAAGACCAAGACTTCCACTTTTGAACCTTTCCTTAAATATGTTGATTCAAGCGTATGTATATGCAACACGAATATGGGCTAATGCGCAAAGAATTCATGGTCAGATTACAGCCAGCTACAGATACACGATATCAGTCGGTAACACCTAATAATCGTTAAAAATCAAGTTTTCGGTCCAATGTGTCAATCCTGGCCGATCTTGTTGGTGGACATTTGAACTTTATCAGTGTTAAAATTAGCAGCACCGGAGTTAAAGACACAGCTGCTACAATATTGGAGATGATTGCATTGCACTGTCAGCCTTAGAGGACGGGGGATTTCATCTGCTGATTCACCACTTAGGAGTAGGGTTGCCATTTTCAATGTCAGGAAATAAGGGATGCACACCCTGGGTCCACCAATGATAACTAAAAATAAATGCAGTCCAAACATACAGGAGAAAGGGCTTCCCTTATTGGTCCAGAAGGGGGAGCTCAGTGAGAATTCAGCAGGAGTTCCACGTAAGAAGTCCTTCTCGGGCTCCTGGTGAAGGACCCCCCCCCCCCAGGCTGCCGACAGCCAGCTGCGTCCCCCAGCTTTTTAGCCCACAGGTTTTAACTGTGCACAAAGACCCTAAGTGATGTTTCTTCTCCATTTCCTTCATATGCCGCGAGGGAAAGGTGCTTTATATAAGCAGACTGACTGCCTTTGATGGTGGACAGCAGACATCTCACATGCCCACACTCAGCGAAGGCCCAGCCGCTCCAGAAGTCAGCAAGCAATTTCTGCAAGACATGCTTTTGATCTAAGAAAGTCTGGAAGCTAATGCTGCACAAGCGAAAGAGGAAGAAAAAGGTAGAAAAGAAATGTTTGGGGAAACAAGGTCAGCGGGATTTTTCATTTAAAACAACGTGAAAACACAACCTCAAGTAATTCTTCCATGATTTGAGGTTTCTGCTGTGCTTGTCCAACACTCACAGGTGTTAGGAAGCAGCACCACCAGAGCTGACCTCAGAGAAGAGGCTGGTAGCACTTTCTTTTCAACAAGACCCTTTTTATTGGTGAAATTCCAGTCTTGGATCCTGCTTTACTGTTTTCTTCTCTATTTCTTCACTATCCCATATGGACAAATCTGTTAGATCGAGTGCTTTTAATCCAAAAGAAAATGCTTAAAATCAGGGCACATCAGGGCTCTGTTTCCCCCCAGCTTAATTCAGATTTCTGAGTTATTACTTGCCAGATCATGTTATGTTTCACTTAATCTTCTTTGAGATTCCCAAAGAAGCCCTCTCACGTCTGACGGTAAAAATGTGTGTGCAGGATTGGGAATGACAGCTAAGGCAGCATCTGAGAGCGATACGTGAAGCGGACAGCGCTGAAACACGCGGCCTGTCCACACACTGGGAGTCAGAGCTGTAGCCATGCCAGTCAGTGGGCGGGAACTGGGAGCCTGCAGCTAAGGCCAGTGTTTAGAGCACATGACAGCACCTGCTTGTTCTGCGTGAGTCATTTGAGTAGCTGGGCTAGGAGCTGAGTCTCACCATCAGCAAGTGCACATTAACTAGCAAAAACGACAATGAACAACATGCGACGTGGCAGAGTTTCTCAATCTGGTCCTTGGGGACCCATAGATAGACCCCCTATGTTCTTGGTCCCCTACTGGGAACTGGAAGGGAGCAAAAATGTGGACCGTTCAGGGGTTCCAGAGGACCGGTTTGAGAAAAACTGCTCTGTAGATATACTGCATCTATCACCCTACAATCAAGATCATTTTCAGTTTATTGTAGTTCCATAACATATATTAAATCAGAAATGACTTTCACTTGCAGCAGAGCCACATGAACTCAACAATGAGGATACAATTCAATCGAAATTTATTGCCTGCATAGTATTACCTACCCACAAATGCATGGGGTCGGAGTTTGAGTTAAAACGAACCCTGTTTTTTATAATGTTTATTCATTATTAAACTGGACGAGACGGTGATGGTGTCTTGTTCACTTAGCCTGACGATAGGGCTGGGCGATATGGAGCGAATTCCACATCTCAATATTTTGGCAGCAAAATAATACACATCTCGATATTTTTATGAAGTGGGCTACATGTTATGTTGTAAGTCAGAGCCACATGCAAGATATCAAACACATTAAAAACGGTGTGGTCAAAATAAAATGCCGATACAGGGTTTCTTTCCCTGTTCGCAAATGTACAGCAACCATTCAGTATGGACATTTTCTATATTCCAAACAGAAGTCTCCAAAATAAACGAAAATAAATGATACCTACACTCACCTAAAGGATTATTAGGAACACCTGTTCAATTTCTCATTAATGCAATTATCTAATCAACCAATCACATGGCAGTTGCTTCAATGC